ATGAAGATGAAGATGAAAATGAAGATGAAGATGAAGATGAAGATGAAATTATATATGTATATTAGAAAATAAGTACAGGTGAATGTACATATATCGCACATTTCTTTCTTTCTGGAATTTCCTCTATTAACTTTCACTTCTTCCGCGCGTAGGGACTACACGCACTGAGTTTTTTGTTCAAAAAATCTTCGCCTAGATACAATAAGAAAGGTTATAGGAAGATTGATATATGCGGTTAAACATTATTATTCTGTAGTGTATTTTATTATTGTAAACTGAATAAAAATATAACCACATAACCAGATAACCTGTGTGAACAACCACATTATGTTATAGTTCAGACATGTTTATTTTTGGAACTTTGCAAAATTGTTAATTTTTAATTTTTGTTCTTCAGTCAAGAAAAATCGTTTAATTCTATTTTTTCGATTAAATTTTATCGTTATTTTGTGATTTGTATCTTTTTCGATAAAAAACTAATCATTATTTTGGATTTTAATTTTTTCGATAACTTTTAACAGTTATAATGGAGGTTGCGATTTTATGACCGATTTAAATCTTTTATGATCTAAAAAATTAAATCTGAAAATAACGAATATATGATCGAAAATATAAAAACAAAAAAAAAACAATCATAAAAAATAACAAAATAACGGTTTACTTTTGCTCGAATAAATAAAATTTACATTTTACCGGTTAAATATTGATTTTTATTGTAAAGATCATAACCACTTCGATCCCTGTTATAAAATTTATTTTCGATATCTTCACCGCCTTTTCTATCGATATCATAAAATATATTTTTAATCGATATCATTTTGGGTAAGAACTCCAGCTGAATTTTAATCCCCATAATTTTTTTATGAAATGGTCTATCAGAATTAGATATCATGTATCGATTTAGTTGTCTATGAAAGCAGCGTTGATCCAGATTAACTCGATAATTCGGAATAATTTCGGGTTTTGATTGGAGTTGAGCGGGATTAAGTTCCGCAGCTAATCCTCTAAATTAATGCGGTTCAGGGAATTTTCGATGACAACACTGGCCAAAACTGCCAACTGTTGTCTATGGCACTTGTAAGCAAACAAAACAAGCGAGTCGAGTGGTTAACGCTGCGTACAAAAATTCCGTAGGATTCGGATTCGCCGTCGGTTCGATCAATTGCAAAAATTGTTTTATTATTAGCCGACTTCACAAAAAAAAGAAAAGGTTATCAATTCGTCGGAATATCTTTTTTTATGTATATTACAGCATAACTTTGCACCACGTAAACCGATTTCGATAATTATTTTTCTATCGCAAAGGCAGTGTCTCCGAGGTGGTCCCATACTAATTTGCATCATGAAGAAATTAACGGTACTCTTAACTTTTTGTATGACAATTGAAGTCTGTTGTGTTTTTTTGTTTAAAAATTTGTTGTTTTTATTGGTTTTTATTTAGTTTTATTTAACATTTTTTTTATTTTATTCTATTTTATTTTCCGTCGTCGAGAGAAAACTCGGGCCCGGTACTAAAAAATCACGGGCCTCTCTATACACATTTTATTAAAATAATCAGCGTTTAACTTTCTAAGTGAAAATAAAGTCGGCAGCATTTCTAATGTAATGTAACAAAAAAGACAATCCAAAACAAAAATAATTGTTGTATTTTCCTTCGCATTCTTCTCTAATTTAATTTATGTCCATAGAGTATAGATGTAATTCTTCTAGAAAAATTTATTTATATGGGCTCTGGAAATTAGAGGCGGGCTCTATAAAAACCGATGTTACATACAAATGAATCTTAAATTCTCGGTACTAGTTTCGATAAATTTTTGATTCTGTTGAAATGATTATTTATCGATATTTTTATCGATTTTTTATTAAAATATTAATCGATAACACATTCTAGTCGATATACTTATTCAAACATTTATGTTCGACAGGCATTCTCTTGTCGAAATATTTAGCGAGATATTTACCGTTTAATATATCGATAAAAAAAATGCTATTATTCCTACTTAATGTTTTGTGAAGTAATCTATTGCTCGCAAAAGAGCGATCTAAGTTTAATTTTTGGATGATAATTCTTTTTTTTTACTGGTATGTTCATTCACACTCACTTGTATGTTACTGTCTCATATTCCTTATTCTCATTCTTCGTCCGCAATGCTGGATAATCACCATAATTGTTTACGGTACGTTTCAGCATGCCAGGAATGGAAATAGGCTCCTCAGCACCTAGGCCATCGGCGGCTTTACGAATTTTCACTGGCTCTGTAGGATCAGTTGTGCTATATGACTCGGCGGGTAGCAAACGATTGGGACCTGGACGGTTGTATAGAGTTTCCCAAGTGGTCATGGCTGCGATAGCTCAAAAGTGAGAGGTAGCGAAAACTGAAAAAAAATCCAGAAAAAATAAAATAAAATAAGGCGGTTGAATAAATAATCGCGATATTAAAAACCATAAAATTGTTCAAACCACTTTCGTGGGAGTATTATTTATCTGGCTGTAACGTGCAGCATACTTCAGGTCCGTCAAAGGTTGCACTTACTTATGCACGTTTCAACACACGTATTATTTTATTCAGATCCTAAAACTTTGCTCATATTTTTTTGTCGGAATTGATCTATCGACACATATGTAGTTACACGATATGTGTCCAAAGAAAAATACTTGCGCCAAGAGTGCTGCTAGTAAGTAAACCATATAATTTGCTAGTTATTTGCAATCATTGAAATTTTTGTCTGTATTTTCAGCTCATTTTATTTTATTAAAATATGTCCATTGGAATTTTAGCACAAAATTGTACATGAATTCAGTCTGCTTCAGCTGATAACCTTTGTCTTATGTCGCGTGATTACACGCATTCAGGAGCATTGAATTACTATATAACCTGTAGTTAATTGGATTAGCTCGAGGCTGCTGAGCTACGAATTGGCCCGCTTTAAGGCGTTAAGTGGACAAACTCATTAAATTTGGATTCTGCAATGAGAATGCATACGGTATTACTTTAACATAACTTTGCTAATAAAAGGTTAAAGAATAACACTTAGAAAAAGACCAATACAAGAATGAAAGTAAAGGTGAGTACGTACATAAATGAAGAAAAGGATAAAGGCAAAGGTAAAAATAACAAGTAAGAAAGTCTAAGTTCGGGCGGAGCCGAACATTAAATACCCGGCGCAAGTATTAAATATATGTTTTCCACCTTTCCGAAAGCTACCGCTACATGATAAGCCGGGGTGTATAAATTTTAAGTAAATTAGCGTCCTTAAATTTCGAAATATTGAAATTTCAAGCATTTCTGAAATTTACCGTTATATGAAAAGCGGCCGTAATTTTAGTCCGATTTCAACAATTTTAAACAGTTTGCTTTTATGTGGCAAGCACAATAACCATACCGAGTTTGGTACAAATTGCTAGAACGGTTAGCGAGATACATATATGTGTTCGTAAGTGGGCGGTGCCACGCCCATTTTCCAAAATTTTACCATAAACGTATTTCTTGGTAAAGAATTGTTGCAACCATCAATTTTGAATAAATTAGCTTTAATATTTACTGATTTATCGAGGATTTCGCATTTCTCTAAATTACCGTTATATGGGATGTGGGCGTGGTTATTGTCCGATTTTAAAAATTTTCGGTCATTTGGTATGCTGTGCCAGGACCAACAACTGTGCCGAGTTTGGAAGAAATTAGTGCAGCGGTTACCAAGATATACACATGTAACCATAAGTGGGTGTGGCTACGCCCATTTTCCAAAAAATTTTAATATTATTATTTTTCGTCTAAAAATCATTGTAAATATCAATTTTGAGTGAATTATCTTCAGTAGTTACTAAAATATCGCAGTTTTCGTATTTCTGAAAATTACCGTTATATGGGAGTGAGGCGTGGTTATTGTCCGATTTCGCCCATTTTCAATACCGTCCGTCCCATGCCCAAAAGAAGTGCACGTACCAAGTTTCGTTAAGATATCTCAAGTTTGACTCGAGTTATCGTGTACACGGACGGACGGACGGACAGACAGTCACCGCTTAATCGATTTCTCTTTTCATTCTGATCATTTATGTATACATTTGTCTATATCTATCTCGATTCGTTTTGCCTGTTACAAACAACCGTTATGTGGACAAAGTTATAATACCCTTGTGCACAAGTGCGCTCGGGTATAAAAACAAAAACAAAGATTCGTAACGATAAAGGCAAAAATGAAGACCAAGGTAAATTTAAACACTTTACTTATATACATATATAAGGGCAAATGTGCAGGGGAATATGTAGCTGAAAAAAATTATGAACATAAAAGTAAAGACAAAGAGGAGGATGAGGATACCGATGAAAGCAAAGATGAAGATAGGGGAAGAAAGATAGAAGTAATTAAAGAGGAAAGGATATAGATAGAGACACAGAGACTCAGTTTGGGAACTATTTTGGGATTTTAGAGATTTTCGGGATTCTCGAGACTTATCGATAAAATAATCGATATTTTTATCGGTTTTGTTATCGATATTTATCGATTTTGTTACCGATATTTATCGATTTTGTTATCGATATTTACCGATTTTGTTATCGATATGCATCGATTTAGTTATCGATTTTGTTATCGATTCTTATCGATATTTATCGACTTTGTTAGCGATATTTATAAATTTTGTTATGGATATTTATCGATTTTGTTATCGATATTTATCGATTTTGTTTTGTTGTTTTGATATTTATCGATTTTGTTATCGATATTTATGGATTTTGTTATCGATATAAATTGATTTTGTATTCGAAATATTTATCGATTTTGTTATCAATTTTTTCCATTTTGTTATCGATGTTATTATCGATATTTATCGATTTTGTTAACGATATTTATCGGTTTGGTTATTGATATTTTTATCGATTTTCTAATCGGTTTAGCTACCAATGGTATTATCGATGTTGCTACTGAAATTTTTATCGAATTTGTCATCGATTTTGTTATCGATATTTTTATGGACGTTATAATCGATTTTGTTATCGATAGAGTATAAAGATAAAAATGAAGATAATGGAAAAACAGAATAAAACGAACAGCGGTAGAGGTAGGGATCTACATTGATAAAAAAAAGCGAAAAAATATAACCTTAAGCAAAAGCAGACGTGTGTATGTATAGATAGATAAGTAACGTAAGTTTCACTTCTGCAGTGTGGCCCAGGCGCACTTACTTTTTTTATTTCTTCGCTAATAATACTTGGTTGGTTAAAAAATAGAGTTGCCACCTGTTTGAAAAATTTAGTTGAATTAAGTTGAACAAAAAATTAAGTATTACACTATGGGTGTCAAAAGAAAAAGGTTAAAGAAAGCTTACTTTAGAAAACATTTTTGAAGAAAGCTACTCTACCTGTTTGAAAAATTTAATTTAATTTAATTCATAAGATAAATTAAATATTACGATATGAGAGTCTAACGAAAATGGTTTACGAAATTCATAAGATAAATGAAATATTACAATACATATGGGTAAAAAAAATTAGAAGAGGTTTGCCACCTATTTGAAAAATTCCATTCATTTTAATTCGTAAAATAAGTGAAATATTACAAAATATGTATCAAACGAAAGGCATTTGAGAAAAAGTTAAAATCGAATATATTAAAATAAAATTAAATAAAATAGTACACGCTGTGTACCAAGCGAAAAGTGTTTGAGAAA